ATAGTGAAAAATGTTTCACTCTTAAGAGCAAAATCAATATTGTTGTTAAAGATCTTAGCCAGTACAGTAAATAAAAAGTAAAATACATTCAGATTGAAAAGAAAAAAGAAAAACATTTATTCCAAGATGACATGTTTATATACCTAAAAAACCTTGAGGAACTTATAAATAAGCTACCACATCTAATAAATAAATACTGTATAGCAAGGTCACAGACTATATGTCAATATATATATACTATAATCAATTTGATTTCTATATAATAATAAACAATTGAACAGTGAAATTTTAAAAGCCTTTTCCATGTACAATATCATCAAAAAACAATATATTTTTAGACATAAACTTAATAGAATATATACTACATGATCCTGAATTAAAAACTATATTACTGGAAAAAATTAAAGAATTGAATATATTGATAGATCTACCCTATTGATGAATTGTAAAACTCAATATTCTTAAGCATTAATTTTTCTCTCAAATTGATAGTTTCAGGCAATCTCAAACAAATGTTCCAGGCTTTTTTTTACAGAAATTCACAAGCTGAGTCTAAAATGTATGTGGAAAATTTTAAAGATATGAATAGCCAAAACAATGTGAAAAAGAACAAAGTTGGAGTATTTAGATTGCTTGACTTCAAGATTTACTACAGAGCTAAAGGAATCAAGAAGGTGTGATATGGCAGTGGTGGCAAACCTATGGCATATTCTCCACAGCAGGCTGTTTATATCACTGAAAGCTCTAAAAGGTTCGCCAGCACTGGTATAGGGAAACACAAAAGATCAATAGAGGAAAATGAAGTACAGAAGTAGATCCGCATATATTGATTTTTGACAGAGGTGACAAAGTAATTCAATGCGGGGGGAAGCAGTCTTTCAATAAATGGTGCTGAAATAATTGACATTTACATGAGGGGAGTGGCTTCAACCTTTACTTCATAATAAAAGCTAAAATTAATATGTGCCATAGACCTAAACATAAAGACTAAAATTATCAATCTTTGAATTCTGAGGTCAGAAGAGGCAGAAGCCTGTTTTTATAATTAACAGTTTGCTTTTTGTTCCTGTTTGTTTGTTTTTTGTTTTTTGTTTTTTTTAAGAAACAGCCATGTTTGAGTATTGTGTCTAACTGCTTTTGATCTACAACAGCAGAGTTGAGTACTTGGGGGGCAATAAGGCCTCCAAATATAAAATATTTACTATGTGCTCCTCTAAGAAAAAGTTTCAGTATCTTTTTCCAAAACAAACAAACAAAAAAACCAGGACAAAATATAAGGAATGATTTATCAGATACAAAAAGCAAGAACAATAAAATAAAGCATTGGCAAACTAGACAAAATTCAAAACTTCTCTCTGAAAAAACACTGTTAAGGTATGAAATACAAGTTACAAAAAAGGATTGATATCCAAATTACTTCTGGACCCCTTACAAATCAGTAATAAGAAAACATAAAATGAGTAATGAAGTAAAGAGACACTTTACAAAAGAAGATAAACAATTGGGCAATAAGCACATGAAATAATGTTCAAAAAATTATTAGTATTGGGAAAAGGCAAATTTAAACTACAACGAGATACTACTAAATAATCACAAAATTTTTCTATTAGACTGAAATACCAAATGGTTGGTAGGATATAAAATGATTGTAATTGGAATATGCTGTAATATAAGGTGAACACAACCACTACAGAAAACAACTTGACAGGCTGGGGGTGGGGGTGCTGGGGATGGAACACAGATCCTTGCACAAGCTAAGGAAGCACTCAGCCACTGAGCCACATTCCCAGCCCCTCTGTCAACTTCTTATACAGTTAAACATAAATTTAACATTCAGTCCAACTAATGCTGCTCTTTCATATACCCAAAAGAAATAAAAACACATCATTTGTTTCAAAATTTGTTCACAGAAATTTTTTCCTGACAGTTGAAAATTGGAAACAACACAACACCCATTGACAGATAAATGAATAAAAAAAATTACAGCATAAACTTACAATGGAATACTACTTAATAAATATCAATGACACAGCAAAAAATCATGAATGAACCTTGAAAGTATTACGCTAAATGAAAGAAGCCAGCCTCTCCCAAGTATATACGTGTGTATGTATATATATGTGTGTGTGTGTGTATGTGTGTGTGTAATATGATTCCATTTATAAAAAAGTCTAGAGAATATATATGAAAGCTAATCTTTAGTAACAAAAAGTAGATCAGTTGCCTAGAGACAGGGTGGTGATGGAGATGTGGGAGGAATTGCAGATGAAGGATGTAGGAACTTCAGAGTGATGACAATGGTATGCATATGTTTTGATCATGGTGGTAATTTTAAAACTCACTCAAAGTGCATTCTTAGAAACAGTACATTTTATTCCATGTAAATTATACATCAAAAATTATATATTTATGTGTGTATATATCCTATCAATTACAATATGTGGACCTTAGCTGGACCTATATTCAAACTGTTAAAAAATGACCTATAATTGGACTGAACAATGACTAGATATAAGACAATGTTGGTAATGAATTTAATAAGCAATTTTTCTTTTGGGAAATATAGCATGAAATGAATAAAATAATATGACACCTGGGATTTGCTTGAAAATAATATGGAGGATTAAATGAACTGGAGTACAGTATACATGAAAAAAGAATGGTCATGAGTTAGTTGATAATTTTTGAAACTGAGGTTGAGTACATGGGGGCTCATGTAATATTTAGTGTACTTTCATGTATGTTCAAATTTTTCCATAATAAAGAATTACTTTGTTTTGATTTTTTACAGAGTCTCTCCTTCAGATCTACTCTGGGATATCTCAATATTGTTCCCATCAGCTCCATCACTTTTCCTTCAGAGTTCTCTTCCCTTTTTTCCCCAGTAAGACACATATGTAATATGTGATTCAGGGCTGACCTAATACTATTGTCCAATGAATGTCCTTTGGAAGCAAGCCAACTACAAACAAATCTTACACACTAAGCACAAATCTGACATCAACTGGTAGTGGAGGAATAACTGATAAATTATAAGTAAAATTGTGGCAGGTTCTGTTTAGATAATCCCTGAAACTCAACTTAATTCTTTCCCAATACTTTTCAAAACATGTTAATTATCCCCCATTCCTTCCCTAGAAAGTAAAACAATGGCACTGAAAATTTTCTCAGCAATACATACTGAAACTTTTTTAGAAAAAGTCTCACCTAGGAAGGCAGTGTCATCCCATGTCTGCTCTCCAACAAAAGTGGCTCACTTGCTTATCACAGTAATAATAAAGACAAAGAATAAAATGTATACCTTCCACAAAAATCTTTTATCATGCTTACTTAGAATGTGCTTCATATCTTCCTTTAAACCCCCCTTATTTCTTTATGCACATGGATGTGCCTTTACTGGAGGTGAGTGGGAAATTAAAAACAAACAAGCAAACACAATAGCTTCAAAGCCTTAAAGCAGAAACATGTAAGCTGGATTGGTGACCTCCTGGTATGCATTAGAGATAACCAGCAATTCTGTTCAGAAGGGCCCTTCTATCTTCTGTGGTTATTAAAATCATATCTTATTTTCAAGCTCACAAAAACACCACTTCCTCCAAGAAGCCTTTTCATCTTCTCCACTGAAAATATTAATTCTTCCACTTTCCGCTAGGGCATTCACCATACTTCTCTCAGAGAACCATATTACTAGGCATTAGGCCTTATTTATCCCAGATCATATATTGTTATCCAAGTAGATAGAGATGTTCTACAGGACTCTTGTCTAGCAGGGTGGGATCCTACTAAATTTTCTGAGTAAGTAGTGAATAAATTACCAATGACACAAGAATTAAAATCCTCACAGGGCACCAGCTTTATTCAAGGTTAGTACTAAACCCTGAGACCAACAGCAGTTGTTGTAAAAGCCCACATTCCTAGGTCAAGGGCTTTTTTACAGCTGGGAGGTGACCATGCTGATAACTTCTATTTTAGGAAGATGGAGGCAGTGGGAATGACCAGCCACCATACAGTCACTCAATAGTGCTTTCTCCATCTTAGCCAAAGTTCTATTTCCTGCCAATTAGGGGGAACTGAAATACTTCCTAACCTGACCTGTCTTATATTTTTCAAGACTCCTCAAAAACACGAGACCAGAGCTATCTTACTGTACAGCTAATGAGGCTTAAGTGTCAGAGTTCCTCACTTGCAGTTTCCTCAATAAGGAAGCATTTTTTGTAGGCATTTCTGGCACACTGCCTAAAGAAATCACCGAAGGACCTTAATTTCCAAGACCCATTAAATGTGTTGTGATTTATTAACTCATTCTAAATATTTACCTTCACACTTAATTTTGAATTATTTTTCGGGATGAAGGGACCCCCCCTTCTCAAACTCAATAGGGAGGTGAAGCTAACGACCAAAGAAAAGGAAAGAAAAAGGTAAACGTAGAACAAAAAGTTTCTCGGTCATTTCTGCTCACTGCAGTCTTGGAACTTCTACAAAACACACGGTCCCTTCCCCAAAAAATATAGAAACTGTTAAAGATCCCCCAAACACAGTGTGGAGTCCCACCCTTGGTCTGGAAAGGTCTGTGGTGAGAAGGTGAGTAAACCAGGCACATGTCAGGCTCTAAAACAAGCAGAGTCCCGGGCTACTTGGTTTCCGCTAAAGCAAGGCTTCCTCTGGTACACCAGATTTCCATCACTGACAGGGATCTGGGACACTCAGGGCAATAAACACAGAAGGGTACTACTCTCTCCTCGTAGTAGCTTGCAATCTCCCAGTTTACCAATTCCTATTTTGTTTTTTTGTTTTGTTTTGTTTTTTGGTACCGGGGATTTAACTCCGGTCCTTGAGCTTGCGAGGAAGGCGGCGGAATCACTGAGCTAAATCCAGGCCCTGTTCCTATTTCGTAAAGCACACGCCTGGTCCTTGGGCCAAAGGTGGGGAAAGTCTAACGGGAACAGAAGACAACAAGGGGAGGACAGAAAAGGCGCGGTCGGGGAGCGCCAGAGGCGGCACTCGGCAAAGTGAGGGAAGTTTTTGCACCTCTAGGTCCTCTCGCCCAAGCGATAAACAGCCAAGGTCTGGGGGAAGTGAAGTGAGGTAAGAAAATGTTAATATGGATCGTGAGGTTTGTGTTACTTAACCTCAGCTTCTGAATGTCGGACTGAAATTTTAGAAAACATCTCCAAAGGAGATCCCACAGGGACAGACGGACACGAAGGCAGGGGAAGGAAGCCAAGGGGAGGGTAGAGGCGCCTTAGAATACGGTGGGTGAGATGCGGCTACCGAACGCTCGGCCGAGTCGAGGTAACTAAGGACGCTGCGCTAGAGCCTCTCTCGCGGCCCCTCTCGCGGCCCCTCGCCAGGCTCACGCCCTCCGCGAGGTCCGGACGCGCGACCCGGCCCTACCTGTCGCCCCTCCCCGCTCGGGCCCCCACTCGGGCCGCCCGCATCCCGGACCGCGACTCTGCAGCGGCCGGCGCGCGGGCGACCCCAACCCCAAGCCCTTCCGGGGCGAGCACCGCCACCCCACACTCACCGGGGCGAGCACCGCCACCCCACACTCACCGGGGCGCTCCATCCCGCGTCCCGGACGCGAGCGCTCAGGGCCGTAGCCCCCATCCCCCAGGCACGGCAGAGCCGCAGCCCCTGGTACGGCTAAGGGCACCACCGCGCCGGCCCCCACCCTGGCGACCCGCCCCAGTCCCGCCCCAGTCCCGACCCCTGGCGCCTGGCCGCGCGGCCGGACTGTAGGGCAGGGCCGCCCCCCGCCGCAGGTGGGGCCAGCGTGCGTCGCGAGACTGTCTTTACCCTCGCGGAGACTTGTCGGTCGCAACCCGACAGCGGAGCCACTCACGCAAAAATCACCATTTTCACTCTCCAGCAGGGAGCAAATCCTCAGTCCCTGTTTCACTGGACATGTTTTTGCTGGACACTATGAATACTTTTAATCAGGACTCTGGTTCTCAATTTTTTTTGTCAGCTTTCCTCCCCGTCCTCCTTTTTCCTTTCGAAACAAAATACATTTGTGTCTAACTTTAAAACGCATTTCTTCTTTCAACCGATTGTCATTTCCATAAAAGTACTCAGAACATGGGCCTTTATGCGCAGTACCAAACCACATGGAAGTACTCGATAAATGCTACCGAAATTGGCTGCATGTCCCTCTAACCATGCAGCTTACATCTTACCATTCAGTGCTCCTGATTAATGGAACTCATCAACATAATGAGGGTAAAAGAAAGACCAAAATTTAAGCATTTATCTCGATGTTGGATCACACATCATATAAGGGGGGGGAGCACAGTGTTTATATTGAGCAGAGTACTGTACATATTAGTTACACTCAATCACTCTACCAAGAATATCTTTTCGGTCATCTGTCCTGTCACATAACAGGCACTCCATGAATATTAACTCATAAATAGGCAAAATCATGGAAATGATACTTGGAAAAATCTGTCAATCTTATCTTCCCCTTAAATCTTTCTCAAAATACATGAGACATCTACCATAATCACCTCTGTTCTTCATTAACGAGAGAATGTGATATTTGAAAACATTTCCAGGGAAAATGAATTTTCATTTTTACAGTAAAATAAATACAATTATTAGCAGAATTAATGTCAAAAATGTACTATCAGGTAGAGGTGGCTGTGTTTGCAAAGAAACTAAGGAATAAAGGGCAATACCTCCACCAAATCTTCTAAAAGTATCCCAGAACTTGCCCTAAAAATCCTTACAAAATAATTTGCTTTAAAAAGAAAAAATTTCTAAGTTAAAGTAGTTATGATCATGGCTTTGGAGAACAGGGAATAACAGGCAAAAACAAGAGATCAGAAGCATAACTGGGTACCAAATTAATAGTATAACATAACTCAGATGATGTGGTAATTTTATTTATGATTACAGGATGTTGCACACAAACACTGTGTCCATTGAGTATGTTCTTCATTCCTTCCATGATAAAAAAGGCCATATCTCTTCTGAAACCTTCCTATTCTCCTTTCTGAAAATCAATCTGATTTGACATCATGTTGTTATCAGAACACTGGGGTTGTGTCCTACTATGGTAAAGAATGAAACTACGGATGAAGAAGGTGGCATGCAAGCAAATTTATTTAAAAGATATAAAGCCAAGGAAGTAAAGCTCTTGCTAGCCAGAAGGGGGTTTTTAGTAGGATATCCATTAGGGTTCTTTGTCTAGGGGTTTTGAAAGGGTTTATAAGGGAGCTTGGGACATGTGCAAGCAATATATAATATATAGGATATAATTTCTATCCTATAGGAAACTACATGCTCTTTAGGGTCTATCTATGTAGTGTTCACACAGTGCCCGTGCAGGGCCCATGTGCCTTTGAGCTGATATCCTGCCTGATTATGCTGTGAGGAAGTCCCAGAACAGCCACAGGACAGCTGGCAGATGTTTTTGTAAGATTCCTGGAGGGTCATGACTGAGCAGGCTGCATTTTGAACTTCTTTATCCCATTTTGGGCCTGCTGCCTCAGAGAATCCTAACTCCTATCTCACTAATTCCTGTTACATTGCCCCACTGAAGAGGTGACCCTTGGTGCCCTTAGGGAAAAGGACAATGACCACTCTGGCAGCTTCAGCTGTACAGGGGCAGTGAGAAGGGGTTGGCAGTCAGGGGCACTGTCCAGAGGGCCCGAGTCATGGCCTATGATAGAAATCAGGTGGGAGTTCCATAGGGGGTTCCAGCTGTGTTAACATCTGAAGTTTAATAGATTCTAGGCAAGAGGAAACAAAGCAAACAAGGAGATTTAGTAAACAGAAAGTAGCAAGAGCATCAACATTGATATGAAGGGTTTACCAGCACCACCCCATAGGGATTTAAGGAGGAACCTCTTGAACCTAAACTGGATGAGAGACTGTTTTAGGAAAGAGCCCAGATTAAAGATGGATTTAGACATTGGGAAGGTGATTAAAGAATCTTTCATCAGGGAGAGCACTGACAATAGTACATTTCCTCCTCCATAAGAAAGGTAGAGTATGATAAAAGAGCCTCTTACAGAAGAAATAGAGGCCAGTTCATGTAAGGGAGACAGTGGTGTTTCCGCCTAGTATCCAGGCAAACTTAAAGGTGGATCTTAAGCCTATGTCACTGAGGGAGATGGTGGGGTCCAAGGGGTGACCACGCACCTATGGAGGAAGGTCTGGTTCCAGAAAACCAGTCATCTATGCACACAGGGGGTCTTTAATGGTGTGATCCTGGAGGGCTTGACATACAATATTTTGGGTGATGAGTGAAAAGAGAAAACTTGGAGACAAAGCAGTGTCTTGTCTCACTGAGTACAAAACCCAAACATTGAGCGAGATAACCCCAGGTGTGGTTATTGGTGTCATTTAGTTCTAACATGGATCTGGCCCATATTCCTGAATAGTTATGCTGTTTGTTTCCCCCACAAAAAGGAGGGGTGAGAGAACTTGGGATACCATCACTTTGTTCTCTTTCAGGTTCCCAGTGAGGTCCCCCTTCATTTTCATCATAGTCTCATGTATATTGGAAAGAGACATTACAGAGCGGGAGAGTCCAAGGAACCCCAGTATAGGTCCTGGGCCATCAAAGTTAGAGAAGCAATTAGAAGGCTTAAGATATAGAGATGAACCTGTCCTACAGGCTGATAATTCTGTCCTGAGGAAGTATTTGTCCAGGTGGGGAATTGAGATTCAGCCCCTCTGTCTCTCAGAGGGCAGGAGGGCCAGGGAAGAGTACAAAAAAAAGGTCAAACAGCACTGTTTTCAGAGTGTGAGAGTCAAAGGAGTCCTACTTTTTGAGGATGCATTCCAACAGGGTGATGGGAACTGAGACGGAGCTTCCTATTTTTCTGAAAATCATCAAATGGACAGAAAACATCACTTGCTTTACCTATTGAAGTACTCCCAGTTCAAGGCATCCCTTGGCTGCCTGTGAGGTCCTAGTTGCTAGGGACCACAAACAAAGATTGAGAGGGGGAAAGGGTAGCTCTGACCACCATGCCCTTTTCCCACTCTTGTGTCCTTCAAGCCCTTTCATCATGACCAGAAGTTGGACTTCCTTTACCCAAAAGAAATAGAAATACTTCTGTAAGTTAAACTAAAGATCAACTTCCAGACCCTCTGTTATGTGCCAAAGGACAATCAAGGCTAATAATCCTGGGGCAGGATCCTGGCAGCCATAAAATCAGGCAAAGTAGTTCAAGCATTCTTTTAAGGCCACATTTGCCATTAAACCCAAACTCAAAGCAGAGATCTTGGCTAGACCTGGGTGGCCATCTGTCTAACAGGCTGTCACCAGCAAGTAACCCCTCTACCTCATTCCCATCTAAGAAGACAGAAAATTCTACTCATCTGCAGTGTCCCTCATACTTGCATCCTCAGCACAGGAGGCAATAAAGAAGGACCATTGCAAGGGCCAGGGATTTAGCTTAGAGGTTTTGCCCCCTGCTGCGCAAGCACAAGGACCCGAGTTTAATCCCCGGTACCAAAAAAAAAAAAGAAGGACCATTGCTGACAGTCAGACAGGAGTTGGGACCTGGGAGGAGTGACTGACGATTTGAGAGTTGGTGTTATAGTCCTTTAGCCACCTTTGAGCAACAAGGAGATTTAGAAGGAACAGCTTGGGCTCAACCAAACCAACAAGAGCAAAAACTTAAAATAATCAAACATATATTTTCTTTCATAAACCTCATCCTCTACAAGCTTTACTTGATGTACTTGGACCTCCTAGTTTGCCTCTACCTTTCCTTTTTCCATCTTTGTAGGGCAAAAACTTATATAAAATCCTCTCATCCCAAAAATATATCTTTATAGTTTTAACTTTCTTCATATTTCCTTCTCTGTCTTACTTACTGGTTTCTTTCTCTAACAAGCCTCATAGTTGCTTGGATTTTAAAATGTTCCTAGTACATTTTCTCTCCTTTGGTCTCAGAGTAAGTTTAAAGGTTTTTACATATTAATTAGGACGGCTGACCAACACATTTTCAAGTGGCATTGAGCATCATCCTTATATTAGCCCAAGCGGAAAGCACCAGAAGAGTAAGTTAACCATGTAATTGCAGTTTAAGAACTATCCAAATACACAAGAAATGTTTAAAGCACAC